AATTCCAATTCCTTTTCTATTTCTCATTCTTAACAAAATACCTGAAAAAGAAAGGAGGAGAGGGTGAGCATAAAAATACTCAGTAAGTAACCTACTTGCACGCTCTCATCGCATCCTTATCTTAATAGGTATTCATGAGCTTTACTTTGGGTTCTAGGAAGTTCGAGCCTAGTCTCGATTGCATCTGGGGTGCCTCAAAGTTTCAAGCGATACTTTAACTACTCATGGGTCAATTCTGGGTTCAGAAGAGTTGGTTCACCCTTTTCTGGCGTCGCAAGTCAAGCAACAAGTCTAATCTCTAAAGTGAACTACTCTTTTGTTTTTGACTTAGGTAGCTTGCTTTCCCTAGGCAGTGTGTAATCGGTATCTTGGGTCGAGGCGCTATCTCATAGAACTCTCTCCTGATGGGGATAGTACAGCGTGTGGCTAGCCTGCTCGTCATCCATGGGAGGATAGCTGACGAACTCATTCCATAAAACCATACAGTCACCAAAAGTCGAGGGTGCGACCCCCTATGCTTATCAACTCCAATGATTACCCATGTGTATCCACATCCCCTCCATAGGACGAATCTAATAGCACCTGCGTGATTCACGTCCCCCCATACGACATATCTACATTTTTCGTGGGATCTCGTCCCCATACTTCATTTTTTGTGTGATCTCGTCCCCATACTTCATTTTTTTCAAATTTACGAAAGGGAATATTGTAGAAACCTTTGGTTGATGACATATTCATTTAATTGGGTCACTTGTAATGGGAAAAGATAAGATTCAAAATTCTTATAGCTATCATGAACATGACAAATTCTTTCTTAGTTATTTAATTGTTATTCTCTTGACATAATTTTTCTTGTAAATATAGTAACAATCGTCTAGGGTTTTATTGGCCAAACCAAAAAGCAAAAATTTGACTCTATTCAAAGGTATCTTTGGGGAAGTGGAAGCCCCACGAATCATTTGAATTGTTCTTCCATCATCTAAGAATATTATCCAACTATTGAAGAGTGGTGAAGGAGGAGGAGAGATGATTTGAATTTGATTAATTTACAAATTCAATCATACTTTTCGAGATAGTTAGAACTAGTTCGTCACTAGCATGCTAGTTATACTCATTTGGTACGTGACGATGCATATTGTCGGGAAGTTCCAAGTTTATAGAGGAAGCAATTCTCGCTTTACAGCTAACAAGGATAAACAATTTTTGTAACATCTCGTACACATGATTTAGAATAGGAGTTGGATATCCATATAAACCAACACAAACTCAATAGGGATAACTCATATTCGTAACGTTTCGTGCCCACGGTTCAGACTAGAGATAACCCAGGATCATAACAACTCATATTCATGATTCAGACAAGGAGTTGGATATCGATACAAATCAACATGAGTTCGTTTAGCATGCTTTTTGCTACTCACGTGCTTTCTGGGTAAAAGCATTTCTTTTAAGCCAAACATGTTTGGCCTATGATTGAGCTACCAAAATGCTTTCTAGGTAAAAGCATTTCTTTTAAGTCAGAACACGTTTGACCTATGATTGAGCCACCAAAATGCTTTTTGGGTCATAGTATTTCTTTCAAATCAAGCACGTTTGACTTATGATTGAGCCACAAAAAAAAATAAAGAAATACATGATGAGTAAACTACTATATTCTCAGGATCGCTCTCATTTAAATGTCATAATAATTCATTCGTATACATGGACCATTTTGGATTCAATCAATAATAACGACAAAGAATCTAATATTGTTCGAAATATTAAGTAAAGCAATTAAGAAAGAATATTGTAAAGAGAACAACATGATCAACAAATAAGATGTCGTAAGTAAGAATAGAATTTAAGATATCATGTCATTTGGGTCGATGTATGTTCCAAATGATGTCCTTAAAAAAGACGTATCCCTACTTAAGTTACTCAAACTCTCCATTCTCACAATACAACTTCCTTTAACAAGATTCGTTTTTTTTTCTTTTCATAACTCTCGAACGTTTTCTAAAAAGCTTGTCCACGTGAACGTTTACTTACTATGTGAGGGAGAAGACCGTAAAACCCCGTAATGCATGTGGATAACTTTCTCTTTACCAGAAGGAACGGATGTCAATACAACAATATTTCTTAATTAACCCTAACCCAATACAAGCCGAGATTCAAACTTTTGATTTCTCAGTCGTAGATGTTTGGATGATGAAAATCTCACATCGGCTAATTTAGGGAATGATCATGGGTTTATAATCTAGGAATACTATCTCCATTGGGATGAGGCCTTTTGGGAAAGCACAAAGCAAAGTCATGAGAGCTTATGCTCAAAGTGGACAATATCATACCATTGTGAACAGTCGTGTTCATCTAACATGGTATCAGAGTCAGGTCGTAAACTTAGTCGTGCTAATAGATTGGTAAATCCTCAAATGTCGAACAAAGGACTCCAAAAGAAAAAGGAGTCGAGCATCCTCGAATACATAGTAAAAAATGACTAAGACTCCAAAAGAAAAAGGAGTCGAACCTCGATTAAGGGGAGGCGTACTTTGCTCGAGTGGAGGTGTTGGATGATAAAAGTCTCGTATGGAAAAAGAAGAGGGAAATAATCCACGTGAGTATAGCTTAATTATTAACGACACATAACTATCATATAAATTTAAATTATACTCGATCGAGCGAGTTAAAAAGAAGAGACCGAAGAAAGTAATAACATGCAAAAAAGTAAATTTGAGGGAGACATAAAGAATCAAAGTAGGTACTAATAAAGATAGGGGATGGTTTTGAAGATTAGATATTGACAAGAGAGAATATGTTTGTAATTTTGTCCTTTGCCAACTTTTTGTCTTTTCGAATCCAAAGCTATTGGCCATACAAGAACTTGCTCAAAATAGTAAGCTTTTGATTTCAATGCATGACATACAAAGTTGAAGGCAACTCACGTAAGCGCACTACCACCATTTGTGCTTTCGTATAAACTACTTTTCTTTTAACTTTTTCTTTCTTTCTTTGCCCATTTCTTTCTTATTATATGAATGTCTACAAAAACAAACTTTTATTCTCGACTCTAATCCTATTATCGTAATTGGGTTCGATCCGTTCGAGTTATATCGCAAATTATGGTTAGAAATAATGAGACGATGTAAGGTTTACGTCCATTCGTTTAGCCATAATGTATATGAACAGATCTTTAAGCTTTTTATTATATTTTGATTTGATTCGTTTTAACTTTGAAATATTAAGTATATTGAAGCTGTATATATTACAGAAAGCGAGCTTTGTGCAAATGAATGTTCGGCAACAAAATTTGTGGACAAAGATGATGATTCTTTTAGGACCAGAATGAGATTTTAACTTTAGCTTTTTTCAAGTCAATAATTGTAGAGATGAAATATCAGACAACCGACTTTTGAAATAGTATTTTATGTTTTATGTATTGAGTTATTTTTACGATTGTGTTTATCTTTAAAGTTACTTGCTTTAATCTAAAGATGAAATCTGAGAATAATGTAGGCATTCAGCTGTCAATGTCAAGAGTGGAACAGTGGGACAGTTTATATGTATATAGCTGGTAAAGGAACAACTATCTCGTACCTTAGAGTGGAAGCAAGCAACTATCTCGTACATCAGAAATATCTTCCTCAACTAAACGCATTAGAAGTGGAGATCAAGAAATACTCAGTAAATTACTCAACCGTTAGAGTTGAAAAATACATTCATATACAACATATATTACGATTAATGGGACCTAGATTCATGATCGTTCCTTGGACTCTACTTAATTTCTGTGTAGGATTGGATGCACAGCACTTCTCTACCAATCGTTTACTCATGCATGTGGATCCACTAGACTGCTCATTAATGTATTCCCTATGCTTGGCTATAGGCAAGCACACGTTGCTAAAAACCGACGAAAAAGAAAAGGACACGAAAAATATTGTGAGTGTATACATCTGTATATTACATAAATGGAGAAGTCATGACTATGTTAACATACCACATACCTAGGATCCCACATATATAATCATGATTCAATGCACAAAAATATTTTCATGTGGTTCGTGACCTCATCATTTCATTGCATTTATAGTTATCGTCTTTCATACAACATGTATAAATTCATATTCGTGGTGCCTCACATAATCATGTTAATAGTATCTCTTATAATATATGCATAAACATACGAAGTCATGATCGATTGTACATTTATACCATAAAATATACATAATCATTCAATTTAATAGCATGTAAATAAAAGCTACACGTTACATGTTTTTTTATGCTTCAAATAATTTCATCCTTCCCAGTAAAATTCAAACTCAACTTCGTTCTCCTTTAAATTTTGCTAATCGTTAACTTTCTTTTGCTAATTATTTATGATACAATCATAAATTAAGTTCTTCTCGAGCATAAATTAAGTTCCTCTTGGCCTAACCTAATAAGAGTAAGATTCGATAGTTTAACTCCCAAAACTACACTTGAAAGAACTAACTTCGTTCTCCTTTTGCTAATCGTCAACTTTCTTTAGCTTATTATTTATGATACAATCATAAATTAAGTTCCTCTTGAGCATAAATTAAGTTCCTCTTGAGCTAATAAGAGTAAGATTCTATAGTTTAACTCCCAAAACTGCACTTGAAAGAACTACGATGTACTTACATATGAAAAGGAGAGAATTTCATCTCCGTAAAATTTTGCACCAAACCTCTTTGGTCAATTCCCTAGAATTAGATTTTATTAAATCAACCTCAAAAATCATTCTCACTCATGTAAATCAAAAAACAAACCCTCCTAAACCGAAGTTTAAGATTATTCTGACATCGAGTCACATATAATTATCTCGTGAAATATCAATGTACTCAATTAACATATGTATAAAAATCAATCACTATAATAAAAATATTTTACTCAATAAGGTTTATACATAACAATTGCCAAGAAACCAACTACTGGCTTTATAAAGTTTATTTATCACTCTTTCAAAAGCATAGATTAAAATAAAATATTAATTATTCTAAAAGAAAGAACAAAACAAATTATTTCTTCAAAAGATCAAAAAGACATGCTTCAATTTTGAGATAGTTACAGGTAAGAAGATCCTTGAGGATTTCATCCAAAGGTGCACAATGGGGAAACATGATACTACACAATTGTATTTCCACTTCTTCTCTCACTTACTTCACAAGACTAATTTAGAAACGTTCTTAAGCCAACCATGACAAAAATGCCTGAAACTTATAGGTCCATATTTTGGCTATGCACAATCTGAGTTTGTGCTTCAACCACCTTCATTACGGTCCAACGTAACCTACGACGTTGAATATGCAAAGGAAATTGTATCAAGAGATTGATAAGACAATACAATAAGTTACTAACAAGTCATTCAAGGTACTTAGACTGGCCCTCGATGAGAACCCTAAAAAACTGAACCATTATTCAGTAAGTTATGAGTCCTATCATTGGTATCTATACTCAGGGTGTGACAAATGGTGTCTTTTTTTATATATTCGTTGATATTTATACTATAGAACGGAAATAAGATTAATGGTTAATATTAATGTCGAACCCTCGAATTTATGAATATATTGACTTGTCAATAGATGTTAATTCTTGTTTATAAACAACTCCCTCGTTACATACTAGCATGCTTCTATCCTAATAATATTTATTAATTCGTTGCTAAAGATATTCTCTAACAGATTAATATTGCTTTAACATTCATGGTGGTAAACAGGAAGGGATAGAAAAACTGACATCAAGTAGCTGGCACTTAGATAGGAAGAGGATAACCACGAAGATATGTCGAGTCGACACCGGATTCTCTTCCCAATGCTACCCTTCCTGTCCTTGCCACCTGCGGATAAAGAAAGAAGAATTCAGCAATTAGGATTGTTGTATGTAAGCATTTACATGCACAAACACAAACATACACAGTGCTAAAAATGTAACCGCTCAAGCCCACCGTTAGCAGATATTGTCCTTTTTGGGCTTTCCCTTCTAAGCTTTCCCTCAAGATTTTAGAACATGTCTATTAGGGAAAGGTTTCCACACCCTTATAAGAAATGTTTCGTTCCTCTCTCCAACCAATGTAAGTAAAAACATTAAATATACCATAATTATTAGATTTTAGATTTAATGGTAGTTTAAGATGGTATCTGAACAAGAGAACATTTGTGTCCAACCTCACATTATATTTCTAATTTCTAAGAATAAGTTAAGAAAACATTAATAATCCAATATTCAATTTTTAAGGAAAAAATCCTACCAGGAATTATTTCTCCAATTGCTAGTCTAAAAGAGATCGAAATCAAGTACAAACCTCACATATCCCATATGGCTCCAGCAACCTCTGCAATGCGACCATCTTGTTTAAATCCCCAGTGAGCTGTGGAGTAAATATGAAGAATTGTAGCATAAGAATCGCCAGATCAAAAGAGAAGGAAAAAAAGACCATATAAAAGTAGAAAAACATTCTTCAATACTTTGGCACTTATACTATAGAGAAGTTGTACTTTCGCTTAACATTAACATCAAGCGCTCTAGTGCGCATTTTCTTAAGGGGTAAGAACACTTTATAAGAGGTAAGAACACTTAGTGCATCATTTTTTCCCCTTTTACAGAGTTGATTTTAAGCAAATAAGATTACACATTTATTTTCAATATTTTTGTAATGGGCTGCTAATGTTGTTCTCTTCACTTTTCCTTTTGCTTCCCCTCAAAGTTTTTAAAACGTGTCTGCTAGGGAGAGGTTTCCACACCCTTATAAATAATGTTTCATTCTCCCCAACCGATGTGGGATCTCACAATGCACCCCCCTTCGGGGCCCAACGTCCTCAATAGCACTCGTTCCCTTCTCAATCGATATGGGACCCCCCAATCTACTCCCCTTCGGGACCCAGTGTCCTTGATGGCACACCACCTCGTGTCCACCCCCCTTCAGGGCTCAGCCTTCTTGCTAGCACATCGCTCGGTGTCTATCCCTAATACCATTTGTAGTGACCCAAGTGCTAGTATTGTTTCCGAAGAATTTGTCGCAAACATCATTCCTTGCCAATTGTAGTATTTCTTCAATCATTATAGACAACTCTTTTGCTAGAACAACCAACTTGAAGAAATGAATTTAGTCCAAATTGAGCTAGAAATTGTAGTATTTCTTCAATCAGTGAATTAGTTTAGAGGAAAAAAGATCCCCACTTGCTGCTCTACTGACGTTACTACATTTATAATAAATCGCGCACATAATAGTCTTAGCCGCATAAATATATATCTGCATTTATGCAAAATTCTCTATACCACATCAAGGAAAGAAGATGACCTGAAGAGTAATTGTATGATCAGAAACATCAACAGCTTTTGCACGGAAGATATCAGCAATATCGAGGACATCCCTTCTGGCAGCAGCATTTACTGCAACTTTTATCAACATTAATTCTCTTTCAGCGAACGGCAAGTACGTTAGATCCCGCACCTGAAGATGTCATCCCCGATTATTTTATCAATCATGAACTAATACAAGTCGCAAGATCATAATACTGTAAGCTATGCACTTTTAAGAATCTCATAAGATTATTCATGGATTTTTTTTTTTCACAACATAAAAGAGATGAAATATTATTTAGAGGAATAGAGTAATAACAATGCCACCTATTTATTCTCAACTGAACTCATATGAGAAATAAAATATGCATAAATTAGATATAACAAAAAAATAAAATCAAAATGAACCATAAAATATCTCAACAAAAGAAAGGATATGTTAATCTTTTAGGTAAGGGCCTTCATCCTTCAGAACCAACTTATCTTTTAGTAAGTTTCCCGCACTAGATACGTAGTTTAAGTAGGGTACTATGGGTTTTGTTTGCTTTTTGTTCTTTGAATAATATACGAACTTATGATATAATGAAAAGATACATGTGTTCAAACAAAACAAACCCCTACAAGTAGAGAAATAAAGTCATGAAAACTAAGAAAACGAATATGAAAACGGACAGTAACATCATTTTGCAAAAATCTAGGTATCATCCCTTCCTATTCTTTCTGTATTATTACCTACTGTTAGAGATTTATTTAGTCAAATGGCACAGACATCTCTTTCAAAAAATTAATAAGAAAAGTGAGCAAGATAATTTACACTAGCAACAATCTGGGTCTATTTGTTCCCTAAAATTTAAAAATTACAAATTTAAACCATGAAGTTTCAAATTTTTTAAAATGAACATATCTACTAAACACAATTGAGTTTCCTTTAGAAAAATTCAAATTGATGTCTAATAAATTAATTAATTTTTAAAAAATTTTAAATTCTTCACTAACCTACTAGACATAAAATTGAAAGTTTAAGAAATCTATTAAACACAAAATTGAAAGTTTAGAGACTTATTCGACACTTTTGAGTGTTCATATACCAAATACACAAACTTCAAAGTTTAGAGAATAAATTTGTAATCTAACCAAAAAAAAAAAAAGAATTACTAAATATGATCATGAAAACCTCCAAAAAGTTCCTACAATACTTTCAAATATCGCAACGTAGGAAAAAAAAAATTGAAGCATTAGTCAAGGCAAGAAACTCAGTCGTACTAGCATTTAAACTTTATCAATAGAAAATTACTGAACATGCTACCTCATGAAGATCTATTAATTTATGAAGCTGCTGAACCAACTTTCCAATTGACTCGTCAGTTCCAGGAATGACTGTTGTGATACGAGATAATCCAGCCTTTTCTGCATGTCCTACAGCAAGACTCTGGAAATTTTCCAAATACAAAATTATCACAACGCAGTTGAAAATAAGAAAAAGTTCGAAGTTAAGAATATAATTAGAACCTACCTGAATGTTATAACCTCTTCTAGAAATAATCCCAGTAACAACATTGAGAACTCCAGGATAATCGTTTACTAGCATAGATAATGTATGTGATTGAAGACCACTTGACTGAAAGTTAGCAGAACACATGAAAAGTTAAAGAAAAATTGCAGAAGAGATAATCTACAAACTACATAAGAAGGAAGGATTTAAATTACCAAAAAAATAACATTTTGATAAAAAGAGATGCAGTATATGTACACAAGAAAATGGCGCAGAAGTTGTGGATCATTTGACCTAAACCTAGACCAACTAGAAAATATCCCATCAGTTTTACTGGAAGGAACAAAAATTTGCACATTACCGAACATTGAGGTTCATATTCAAAGCCCATCTTCCTTGAGGTTCATATTCGATGATTGAGATGTCTTGTTTCACATCTCATTCTTCAATTTTAACTTCTTTTTGATTTCTTCTCAAGGAAAAGTTCCAAGAAACAGCACTTTGATTCCAAAGATAAGCAATGGGAACCTCTTTACTGAGAGATTGATGGTAAAGAAAGGGATTTAAGTTGCAAACTTTGTGCTTCCAACCAAAACTCCTTCCAAAACAGAGTTTTGGCTCCCCTCCCAACTCTACCTTCAATATGATTGTAAACCAGATTCTGCAAATTTTGAATAGACTTCCATGGCCCCTTGGAAGTTTGCAAAGGAACTCTACCCAGCTTGAGGTCATAAGTCCGGAACCAAATTTTGTAGCAATAATTCTACGCCAAAGAGCATTCTTTTCTTGGTGAAAACACCAAATCCATTTGGCCAAAATTGAGATGTTCCTTTCGTGTATATCAAAAATCTCCAATCCTTCATCAATAGAGGATTGTATAATAGACCATCTGAGGAGGTGGATGCCCTTTTGAGAATGCCTCCCCTCCAAAGAAAAGTCCTGTACTTCTCTATGGATTTGTGACCTTGGATGGAGCAAGAAAAATGGAAAAATAATAAATAGAAAAATTGTAAGCGTAGCTTGGATAAGAGTGTATGCCTACCTCCTTTTGATATATGAGAAGCCCCCCAATTATTCAAATGCTTCTCCACTTCTTCAATAACTGGAGCTCAAAAACTTAGCGTACAAGGATTGTCATTCAAAGGGAGACCCAAATAGGTAGTTGGCCAAAATCCAATCCGGAAACTAAAGGGTGAAGCAAGACACTAAGCTTGCTGCGAGTCAATTCCAACACCCAAGAATTCCTTTTTCTGACAATTAATATTTTGACCCGAAGCTCCCGCAAACTGGATGGTACGAAAATGATTGTGGAGATGAGTTTCATTTGAAGAAGAAAATAGTATGGTATCATCACAGTAAATTGGAGGTCGGTGATGGATAGTTTTTGTGGATCTTTTCCTACATGAAAACCTTCAATCAACCCTTTTTGTTCTGCTGATAAGAGCATCCTACTAAGGCAATCAACCACAAGCATAAATAAAAAAAAGGAGAAAGGGGATCTCCTTGACGAAGACTTCAAGATGCTTGTGTTATTCCTCTAGGTTTACCATTGATAATAATGGATAAATTCATTAAAGAGATGCACTCTCTAATCCATGTCCTCCAAGTTTGCCCAAAATCTTTACACGAAAGCTTTCCTATAAAAAATATATATCCACCAAATCAGAAGTCTTCTCTATATCAAGTTTTATAACTACACTCTTTTTCCTTCTATTCCACTCATCAATGATCTCATTGGCAATTAACCATTTTGTTTTGCAACTCTGATGCCATATAGCTTCCTCATTGGCAGAAATAGAAATCAACTCCCCTTTAATGGAACTTCTTTGCTGTATATTACCAATTGTCAGTTGGGAAGTCTCCTCCTAAGAATCAATGGCTATGAGCTCTTGGTGAAGGTTAGATTTCATAAAGATTTCAGTTGGAAGTCTTTTTTTTCTCCCAGCCAAGTGCTAGTCAATGCATAAATCACGAGAAAGAACAAAGAACATGTGTTCTCACACATCCAACAGAGGAAGCCCTCAAAGGAAAAACAAAATATAACAAACAACCTTATGGTTAAAAAACTCAGGTTAAATATCGAACTTGACTCACCCAAATGGATGATGTTTCAATCAGCACTGGTTGGATATATATTCAGCGAAATGTCCTAATACTACTCAAGGAAATAATAGACATCCAGATAAATTTTCTTTTAGAACTACAATGGAAATATTTGAAAATTATATACATACATCACCATCATAGAGAACACCCCAGTGAGCGTCAAGAACTTGATTTGAATGAAAATTCTCATATGGCTCCACAGGATACACATCTCCCTGCAATATTCACATTAGCGTTGTGTTCAGTGAAAGGTAAGAACATTTCCCAACCAAAAATAAATAAAATAAAATAAAAAATGGGGAACAAGCATCCCAAACAAATTGTAGAAAAATCTCGTAAAGAAAGTTCAAAGAAGTCAGCTGTCTGTTTTCAAATATAAGAATCAATTTTAATTAGAGATAATAAAACTGCATAAGTGGATCAACGGAGTTTCAAAAAAAACTCAATCGGCAAGTATATAACAATAGGATTGAGTAATTATTAAAAAAAACAAACGAACACTTACGCATCAGAAGCTGAAAAAAAAATAATAATAAAAATAAATAAATAAAAAGAATCCTGCATGAGGATAGTATTCCTCTTTCACTTTAAAGATCCTTCTCTTCCGCTTCAACAAAATCAGCCAAAAGAAAGCTCCACAAGCATTTAGCCATAGGATTTTCTATGCCAATTCCACCGATGACCACAAAGGTTTTGCACCATAAACTGAAAAGTGGAGTTAGGATAGGAGAGATGAAGGTTAGTAAAGGTTAAAAGATTTTCCTAAAATCTGAATCGGTGACCTGGCTGGAACAAGAAAAGATGGCACAGTGAATCTCCATTGTTCTTGCAAAGACAGCACAAATTAGGTTCACAATGTAGTATGCATTATTATGTATATTAGAGTATTGTCTTAGATTCAGAGTTTATTAGTCTATTTGTTTAACTTACTATGTTAGTTTAGGCCTCCATGCTTACCTCTATGTATGTAACCTATATATGTGTGACTTCACTAATATTAAGTTTAACGAATATTTTCCCAATATTAAATTAGACAGAAAAAGAACACAGTTTTTGAGAACGGAGGAATTCAAGAACTGCTTACAAAAAGTTGGAATGATTATTGATTCTCTTTTAATTAGAGAGAGAGCCACAGAAAAGTTGGATTTTAAGATGAGAGAAACCCTGGATAACTACACAAAAGCAGTCCTAAGTACTATTTCTTTATCATATTTTATCAATAAATTGAGGATCAAAGACTACTTGGTGAGCAAGGAGTGTAGAAACGGTTGTTTGCTGGAGGTGGAGAAAGAGAGATAAACGCCAATCCAAGTTAGCAAAGTCTAGTCGCTAGGTTAATTGGCACTTTCTTTTCAGAAATGCCAATCCAAGTTAGCAAAGTCTTGAGGTAAGGCACAAACTTTGAACCTTTATAAGAAAGAGCAGACTTTTGTATTTCTCATTGCAGTTGATACAATTTTCTCACTTCTAATTGTAAAATTAAACATGCTACTTCTGTCGTAGTATCTCTAATCTTCCCATTTATTATTATTTTTGGAGCCTAGAACTTCAATAAAAGTTCATAGTTAAAATACGTACTTCCGTGCTTCAGCAACTTTGAAGAAAAAAGGTTTCATCAAACCTTTCATGGAAAAGAACAGAAGTACATACGGTTGAGGTAGAGATGTTGCCATTGACTGATTGAATTGAATCCCCTACAAAGCCTTCAACCGGCCTTGAGTCTTCGAGATCCGGATAAGAAGCTGCTGAGAACCTCCAAAAGGGAGCTGTCTCCCCCATTTTCTCCCTTCTCAATGCTATCTATACACAGTCAAACAAATTCAATGTACATGAGATATGAAAAATTGTTTATCCCTATGCACATGAGAAAGTTAAGCAAGGATATCATACCGAAGCTATAATCAATATACCATAGCTAAAATTTCTATTTCAGATATTTAAATATGTATAGATAGGAACGTGTAGTAATATACATTCATTACAATATATTAGATAATCTCTTGCTTAAATTGTGTACAATATAGGATATTATAGACAATTATACTTAAAAGCCTACTAGAAAAAGGTTCAATTGTTTTTTTGACGTCTCCAATGAGCTAAATTTATTGGACAAAAACAAACATATACATACGTAAAATATGGTAGTCATGAGTATTTTGGTTAGACGTACACTAGAAGGGTTACATCAATTCTCACAAAAACTGACACCCAGCAGCAAGGGAATAGAAGAACTCTCCAACCCACTATCTCTTTTAGATTTTTGTACTAAGCATCATAACTCCCTTGCTGTCAAATATCAGTTTTTGTGAGGGTCCATCCAAAGTCAGAGGGCTGGGAGGCAGTTGGAGCCATTTATTTAGTCCTCTGAAATGTCCTTTTCACTGAAAGGTAATTGGAGCCCATTATTTAATCCTCTGAAATGTAATATTTTAAAGAGCAGTTAATAAGAGAATGATTCAATTGGGTTTCTCTTTTTCACACTGTGGGGATGCACACAGTGTCTATGGATCCACCCCAACCAACTCTTCTAGGACGAGGACCTAACAAAGAAATTGGGAAAAAGAAAAAATACGATAGAGATTTCAAAAAGATCTTCCGTCTCAATCAATAATGAGGGGAAGAAACCTTTATTGAAAGTTAAGGACTCTAAGGTTCCTCAATGAAATTGTTGACTTGGAATATGAGGGGGCTAGGAAGGAGGGAGAAAAGGAGGTTAGCTGGGGAGTTGTTAATTTGGGAGCATCTGGTTTTGTACGTAATGAGAAAAGTATTGACGGTTCCTTTGATAGGAGTTTGTGGGTAGAGTGGGTGGGTTTGGAGTCCGTGGGAGCATCTAGGGCTATTTTGGTTTTATTGGATGGTGGCTTGTTTAAAGCTTTTGAAGTGGTGCGAGGGGTCTTCTACCTTTCTGTGGCTTTTGAGGGTGAGTTGGAGACCATTATTTAGCGTAGAGTACACAAATTTGAGATAAGAAATCAAGGTCAAGTGGGTTAAGGATGGTGACGACAATGCTTCCTTCCATATAATTAGGCGAGAGCTAGGAGGAATCAGAGCCTTATTATAGACTTCATGGATTAATGTGGGAGTTTTGACGGCGGATAGAAAGATTGAGGAGGAGACTCTATCTTTATTCTCATCAGGCCCCCATCTTCCAAGGTTCCAAACTCTTCTTTCAATGACGATGTTATTATCGAAGAGGTTGTCACTCGAATTCTAACACCATTTGAACAGGAATTTACACGGAAGACCAACAAATAACTCACGTTCTATTTTCCTTAAAGGCATAACGGTACTGGGGGCACTCTTTTTTCTCGAAGTTTTATCCAATCATTACTTAACCCTCCTTCATCACTTAGAACCAATCAATGTTCAGATGATGAATCAGAAGTCAGTGGTATTCCAGAGTTTTGGAGATTATTTAAAAAGAATTAGCTTTAAGAAATAGTTGCAACAGCATACCCCAGCTATGGTTCTTGTTCAAGAAAAAAAGGTGGTAGGCCCTTTCTCAAGATGATTCATTAAATTTATGTGGAGTTCAAATGAAATAATTGGGTCCAAGTCGAATTCTTTCCAATCTAGGGAAAATAACCCAATCGAAGACTCATTCGATTGAATGTATTCTTTTGTAACAAAGAATCAGTTTGAAAATTTCTATAACTCTATTGCCCCGCCGTTGTTCTTTTTCTTGAACTATAAGTTGGCTCCTGTCAAGAGTTTCATTAAATCCATATGGTCTTCAAAAGTCATTAGTTAGGAGAATGTTGGTGTCTTTGGTCGATCTAGAATTTTTTTTGGTCATGTAGTTCTTTGAAGGTTGGCTCACTCGCAGTTTCAAAAATTTGATCTTAAGATTCTTCCAGCTCAATTCATGGGTTTCTCCTCCAGTTTTTTGGATGGTCAAGATTTTCCATGTATTCCTTGTCTCGATCAACTTGAGTTGGAAAAATTGATAGCTTAAGAATTTCTTCTTGGTGTTCTTTCCAAGCCTTTTGTTACCTTGGTAGTTAGTTTCTGATTCAGAATACATTTATATCTCTTTATGTAATTTGTTTGTTTACTTCTTCATTCTTTTCACTCTTGTAGAGTTTGTATTTTTTGAGCATTAATCTTTTTTCATTTTTTCAATGAAAAGTTTTGTTTCCCAGTCAAAAAAAAAAAAAAAAAAACTCCATTTTCAGCACTCAATGTATCTAGATCCTCTTTTGTATTATTTCATATTATCAATAAAATATTTATTTCCTCTCAAAAAGGAACATGCAAGCTTCTTTAGTGCACTGTCTCCAACTTTTCTCCTTTGGGAAAAAAAATTACTGTTCTTCTTTATGAGGCTTCGTTTCTACTTTTTTCAACTCTTCCACCTCCTCTTCTTTACCCCACTCTTCCTTCTCTTTTCTTTCTCCTTTTCCTCATGTCAAATATTGTTTTTTTTTTTTTTTTTTTATAAAGAAGCTCATTACACCATCCTTCAACATGACACTCACCTCACCTTCTAGCGGTGGCACACCATGGAGAGTGCTATGTTGAAAGTGCTCATCATGGTTATCTTCGAGGCATAAAGGACTAATATAACCCTGCCCCCTCTCACTGTAGGTGACTACTTAGGCTCACCTCAACAACAACGGTCTTCTTTCCATAGAGTTTTCTTATGATTTTTGAAACATTTTTGCCCATTGTGAAGCCCTTATATAACTTTCTGATTGCGTGGACATATCTCATTCCCGTCTTTTTGTATGTCTTCAATTGATATATTCCTTGTTTCTTAATAGTAATAATAATAAAGAAAAAAAAAAAGAACAAAAAATTAGAGTTCCATTTGATAGCTTAGAGCAATGGTATAACATAACTTCAAATTACCCAAGCTAGAAATGGAGTTGGAATGTCGGAGCTCTTGATCATTCTTCTTGTTATAGCATTTCAAATCATTTACTTTAATCGATATTAATGCATGCATTAATAACCCGCCATTAAGAAGTGTGTCTCCATAAAAAATTGATCAGAACAATGCACTAACTTGATGATAGCTCAATTGACCGAGGTATTATAACTTCTATCAAAAGGTCAAAATATTGAATCTCACTCCCATAAATTGCTAAAGAAACAAAAATGTCAGAACAAATATAATATCTTTACCTTTCCCGTTCTAGCAAGTTCTTTAATTCCAAATTTGCTGAAGTTTCTTTCAACGGCAACCAACTTTCCAGGATCTCCAGTCACCTTAAGACATCAAGATGAAACAAACTTAATAAACTGCTAATAAATAGAACATAGGCGACACAAATGAATATCTAGCATTAATATATATATATATATATAGTTCCAATTAATAAAAAATGAAAGAAAAACAAGAACATGTGAAAAAAAAAAAAGAGCCAACAAAAACAAAGAAAGTGAAAGGAAGCCCAAAACTAATTACAAAAAAGTGCTCCAATCCAACAAAATAAAATTGCATAATTACAGAAAAGCCTATTTACCAACGTCCACAAGGAAGCATTGAACTTGGCCCCTCCTCACACAATCTCTCGACCTCTCTAAAAGTCATGTTATTTCTTTCAACCCAAATTCCCCAAACAAAAAAAAAAAAACTAGTTTGTCTCAGCACTTTTGTCTCCCATGAAGAGAACTCAAGAGCACTTCCTTCATCAAAGAATAACAATATCTCCTCTAAGCCAAATGAGGTCAACCTCTTATTCCAAATTGACTACACAAATGGTAACCCCACAGCAAGTGGTAAAGGTCTTTCTCTTCCAGCCTAAAACGAATACGAAAGCAATGTTGCAGTTGCAACACAAAGGAAGGGTCGCATTGAACTAGATCTACAATGTTCACCTTACCATGCAAGTCCTGCTACAGAAAAAAAGGGAAAAAAAAAAAAAAAAAAAAAAAAAAAAA